CGCGATTTGTCATCCAGATCTCACAACCTTGGAACTGACACAAGCAATCTGCTACTAGAATGTCGCTGCTGTGACATCGGATCTCTGGCCTTCAATGTGTAACGTCCTGGCCGCTCCCTGGAAACAGACCGGGCGAACTCCGACGACCAAGCTCAGTGAGTCTCTGCAGCGCAGTACGAGCCGACAAGGAAATGAGACGGTATGGCATACACTATCGACTATTGGCGTCACCTCATGCTGATAGAAACAGATCTCTCAACGCGCGACCTTGCCTGAATACCTGGAAGGTGTTTCGATCGAAGCCCTACGAGCGGATATCGTCAGCCGGCCTTCGCAACAAACATGGTCGTCATTGCTGAACCGAAGTATGTTTTCGCATTAGCAAATTATGTTGATGTTGATGAATCACGTCTAACCATTGATGACAGACAACGCACTTCTTACCACCTCATCTTTTACGCCGATCCGCCATGCCATCCCCGCTGCTCGTTCATACTCGACCCTAACTCCATTTCGCCTTAACTCCCTACGCACGGCCCCAAAGGTCAACGGTCTTACGAAGATACAACAGCAACGTTTCTTGTTCGGAGGGTCCTGGCATCATGTGCTAGCTCAGAAGGAGAAGGTCGCCAATAAGAGCCCGAACAACGCAGATGCTCAAAATGCTCTCTATTCAGCTCTTTTGCGCGCCAAAATGCCAGGCATTGTTATCGAACGACACCGGAGCGGTTATTTTGCAAGTGATCTCACAACCGAAGCATTGGTCCAACAAGCCCAGTCAAGCGTCGGTGGCGCCGAGGCTGGAGCTGGAGCTTTCACCGGGTCGAACCACAATCTGAGCCCTGAACAGCTCCAGGCAGTTGGTCAAGCGGTCGCTGCCCGGGCTACTGGCAGTCAAATCGGAATGGGAAAACAAAACGGTACTGGTGCTAAGGACGCTCCTCTTTACGTTGTGGTCGACGAGTCTCTCGGAAGCACAGTGTTCCGCTGGGTCAAGTTCTTGCTCATTTTCGGCTTTTTCACTTATATCTCCCTGGTCACGGTCACTATCTTGGTTGAAACCACTGGTGTTCTAAAGAATGTTCGAGGTGCGCAGGACAAAGAGGCTCAGCCAGAACAGCAAACTGCTCGCTTCAGTGATGTGCATGGCTGTGACGAGGCTAAGGACGAGCTGCAGGAGCTGGTGGAATTCCTTCTCAACCCGGATCGTTTCTCTTCCCTAGGCGGTAAGCTGCCCAAGGGTGTTCTCTTGGTCGGACCTCCCGGTACTGGTAAAACCTTGCTTGCGCGTGCTGTTGCTGGCGAAGCAGGTGTCCCATTCTTCTACATGTCTGGATCTGAATTCGATGAGGTATACGTCGGTGTTGGTGCCAAGCGTGTTCGTGATTTGTTCGCTCAGGCCCGTGGCAAGGCTCCAGCTATCATTTTCATCGATGAACTGGATGCGATAGGTGGAAAGCGAAACGAGCGCGATGCTGCTTATGTCAAGCAGACGCTCAACCAGTTGCTCACGGAACTCGACGGATTCTCCCAGACTAGCGGGGTCATCATCATTGCTGCTACCAATTATCCTCAACTGCTGGACAAGGCACTCACTCGACCTGGTCGATTCGATCGCAGAGTCGTTGTGGACCTGCCTGATGTCCGTGGCCGGATGGACATCTTGAGACATCACATGAAGGAAATCCAATTCGGTGCTGATGTTGACGTCGGAGTCATTGCACGAGGCACTCCCGGCTTCTCCGGTGCTGATTTGGAGAACTTGGTCAACCAAGCTGCAGTCCATGCTAGCCGTGACCGCAAGGCTAATGTTGGCTCCTTCGACTTCGATTGGGCCAAGGATAAAATTATGATGGGCGCCGAGGCTCGCAGTCGCATCATTCAAGACAAGGACAAGCTCTTGACTGCGTACCACGAGGCTGGTCATGCCCTTGTTGCACACTTCTCTCCTTCCTCCACTCCACTGTACAAGATCACCATTGTTCCCCGCGGTATGGCCCTTGGTATCACTCACTTCCTGCCGGAGATGGATACCGTCTCAAGGAACTACACCGAATACTTGGCAGACATCGCCGTCTCCATGGGTGGCAAGGCTGCTGAAGAGCTGGTTTTCGGCCACGACAATGTCACTAGTGGTATCTCAGCTGTAAGTCTTAACCGGTTGTATTTGTGTTCTTTCATTGATACTAACGGCCTCTTTAGGATATCCAAAGTGCCACCGAGACGGCCTTCACGCTGATCACCCGGTTCGGATATTCCAAGAAACTCGGCAACGTTGACCTGTCTACAAACTACGACAGCCTATCATCGGAAACCAAGCAAGAGATTGAGGGTGAAGTGCGCCGGCTCGTGGAAGAGGCTCGTGACCGAGCAACCAACATCCTGACCGAAAAGCGCCACGAGCTTGAGCTTTTGACAAAGGCGCTCATCGAATACGAGACGCTCACAAAGGAGGAGATGGAGCAGGTGCTGAAGGGCGAGAAGATCAATAAGCTGAAGTCCTCCCCTTCTGCGCCGTTGAAGCTTCCCGATGCTTTGCAAGCGGCTAATCTCAGTCCGTCTGCAGCGGCAGGAAGAGCACCCACGGTCAATGAATAAGTCATCTCCACACACTCTGTAATCTCCCCTTTTCATTTCCCTGTCTTATTTTCTTGCTGGCTCTACAAACACACACCTACCCTGTTTTTTTCGTCTCCACTGTGCATCCCCCAATCATTCGGGCGTCTATTGAAAATACCATATTTCCTTGGTTCTCTCTTCTACATCATGTCTTAGTCAGCCCGACTCTACCTGACTCTGGTTATCGATTCGCCGCTTTTCTGTGTGCGTAATACCATTGAAGCTTGATTTGATCTGTACATGTACCTTGTACGTTATACGTGGTGTGTCACAATCTGTCTGTTAATTCAATCGTGTCTATATAGTTGCAAGGCAGGTATAACCTTGGAATTAAAACAAACAGTAGCCAGAACAATTTGGTAAAACCAGGCACCTGACAAGTCGATATGAATCACAAAACATTCCTTCAAAACTTGCACATAACTATTCCATGCTAAACTGATATTTATATCCACTACACTAAGATGCGTTTTTCAAGTGCCATCCTCTTCCTAGTCTGTTGTTAGCTCTGTCTCTGCATGCACCAAAGGGGAAATCAGATGCGGTATGTCCAGCCAACTTGGAAATATCATTTTTACATAGTATAAAAGAACTAACACTGGGAGGACCTAACAATACGATTATGGTTTGCAAGGGTGAAGGCAATGTCTGGAGAGAATTTAGAGAATGCAAAGGGGGGTATACGCTAGGTGGTGGAGTTGAAACCTGCTGAGCCGCTTGGCTATGGGAGTGTATGCATGTACGGTCTACTTTTAGAAAGGATTCTTTGCGTCAATTTCTGACGCGTCTCATAGGGAGGATGATAAAATGGTGACGGCTCCATGACAACTCGATGGTACGGCCAAACCTGTGGTAAGAAACCACAAAAATACCCATGTTGTGATATGAATAAGCTGACATCAAAGCCAAGATGGCCTTGAAGCTGCGAAAGGGAAAACTGCAAACTTCTAGTCTTACCTTATTATTTCCAAGGCGTGGCACTAGATTGCACTAAAGGACCCATCTCTTGTTTTTGGAGGGACTTGCCTCTTGGTTAGATTTTGTTAAGAGAGCCTAGAGTTCAAATACCATCCAGGTATTGTTAGACTTCGCTTCCACAACTACTTTCTTCCCATATACACATATCGCTGGCTTTCATTCATCCTCTTGTCTTATCAAAGTTATGAAAATTATATGCAGTCCTGGATTACCCTTTAACAAGGACAAGAATAGTCGGCCGCGTTTGCGGCCTTGTAACGTCTTTTTGTTTAATCTTTTTGGATGTCTTTTTTTATAGATATTTGCCCGCCTTCTTCGGGTTCATAGACATACAGCAGAAGAAGGCGGAGAAAGGCTTGATTGGTGAAATGGACTTCTCTATGTATAACCCTTGAAGCTGCGTTTGCTGATATTGCGGGTGCCATTCTCGTAGGTAGTCTCCCAGCTCTTGCATAGAGCAATAACAAACAGAGAAAGTAAGACAAATGAAAAGGATAGACGGTTGTCCCGCGAGATCAAGCATAGATGGTATCTAATGCCCAGCCCAAATCCAACCTCCATCCTACTAAGAGGTCCCGACGTCCCTGCTCGACCTGAGCATCACCTAAGTATAGTTCCTAATAGATGTTAGGGCCTGCATATATACTATATATACCGCTGCAGCGCTAATCGGACGTTCGCCTAGGTAGGGCCTACCTAAGTAGGTGGTTGAATGTTCTTATGTAATCATTTTAATGTGCCAGGTCCACGGGCGACCTCGGGAGTTCCCGTCTGGATTACCTAAGCCCTGGTGACCTCCAGGGCTCCAGGGCTCGTGAGCCGCCTCATAACCCTGGAGCTAAGTTAACCGCTAACCTTAATATATTACACGCTAGCCGCATCTAAATGCAATCCTTCACCTAACACTCTTACCCATCTTAATACTGTCCACTCAATGAAAGGCTGGTGGTATCAATTTAGGAGTCAACCCTGGTTGTTTTGCCGTAAAAGAGCCACCACCAGCCACTCGGAAAATAATTCATTGATAAACACCATCAGCAATGCCCGCGGAGGCTAGGCCAGCTAGTTCGCCTGGGCATGTCCCTAGCCAAGCCACACTCTCATTACCTCCATGACTTGATTTGTCGGACGCTGTCCCCCTCTCCGCTTTGTGCAGGCTCTATGCCACCTTGGGCCAAATCCTGCGCGAGTCAGCTACACTAACTATTTTTATCCGAATTCAAGTTCGTATTTGTATTATAAAATGTGGCAGAGCAGCACGGAACACCTCCAGGGCTGGGCAAGGCTGTGGAAAGGCTTGGCGCCTCCCTGGGCCGCTATTTGAAAAGCCCAATGTGACCATTCTTCTTCTTCTGGTACCCTGTGAGATCCTTTCCGATATTTGAGGCGACCACCGACCTACTATGGCACGACCTGCTATAGCACGCCCCAGAGACAGTAGCGCGGCTGCAGTCGCGTATACTCCTCTAGCGGCGCCCGAGAACGCTCCCAGCCAGATTCAAGATGAACCGGAAGTCGCGAAAAAGGAAAGGTCTCTGTGGGCCCGGCTGGGGACCTACCACATCCTTATTTTGGGTCTCGGTTCGATCGTGCTCATCATAGCGGTTATACCGCTAGCCTGGCTTTGGACCGAGTCTATGGCAACAGCCACAGGACGAGAGCCAAGTAGCGCTTGGTTTGTGGTTATTGAAGCAAACTGGACCACGCGGATCGTCACCATCTGCACTGCCATTCTACGAGCGGTGGTCACAGCCCAGGCTAGCGTGGCGACCGCGATGTTTGGAGGAGTTATTCTGGAGCGCGTCGGCGCTCCACTGCTGGACGGGCCATTCTATTCGACCGTGCGGGCTCTAAGTGGGAGCCCGATTAGCTTGCTGTGGACTCCGAGTCTACCGTTACGCAAAACCGCCCTCTCGATCCTCGTCGTTATCCTCATTGTCCTTGAAGTCTTGGTAACCATAGCGGCGCAATTCCTCTCCACCCTTCTCGTGGCCGACTTCGGAAATGGCGCATTTACCCAAGCCAACAACGTGACGAATATCCGACTCCTAAATGATACCCAAAGTACGCCCCTTGGTGCGTGGTGGGCGATGCCTCCGGTGGCCGGTTGGACGTTTGCCGAACAATCAGAACCGCCTACATCTGGGTCTAAGTACGACGATACAGGCCACACGTACCACGCCTTCCTACCCTATCTGGAGGCGACGCAGCGGAAATCACTACGCCGTTTCCGGGGTCCAGTCCCTATCGTCGATCATCGGGTTGTCTGTGTACAACCTGTACTACGTGACCTTCACCTCTTGGCGTACTACGATGCTTACTCGCGTCTTACCGGAAAGATCAATATCGCTAACGACACGTATCCGATGCTAAAGGGCACGGAGAGTCAGTACGACCTCCCGTTTACGTGCGCCTTGCCTAACTCGAAGTCGACAACTACCCCGGAGCAAAGAGCAACGAGCTTATGTTGGCCGAATGCTAACATAGAGTGGGAGGTCTTGCTGGAAGACCCTATAGTGACACCCGAATCTGTCAGCACTAGGGGGTACTTGAAGCCCGGCTATCCGCAGGCATCCACGATGTTTATGCTTTTAGACCTCGTCTCCTTTCCGACTGTCCCCCTCGCATCCACAGAGGAGGCCCGCGTCGTCGGAAATAACGACACTGATAGTCCCTGGGTGATGGTCGGAAACGGGACTGATGTTCCTACGGTGCGGGTGACAGCCTGCTCGACAAATCTCGGAGTGGATACTTTCACCGCGGAAATACACAACAACTGGGAGGCGTCTGAGCCCACCATGTCCTGGAACCAATCCACGTTGAGCTACAGTACCGAAAGTACACGTACCCAGCTGGGTGCAGTCCGACCTCGACAGCCACTAAACGACCGAGGCGTGCTCGCTCTCGCCCCCCGCTCGGATTGGCAAACCTCCTTCTCCTATGAGGAGATTTCCGCATCCTACTATGCAGGGAACTTCTCCAGTCCAAATATCACCTCCTCCATGTTTCGCGCTGCCAATGCCTGGACCTTCACGGCAGCCTTCGCTGACAGCATAGGAATCCCGCAAAACAGCTTCACGGATAGGATGGGTTCCGCAAACCCGGGCATGATACTATCTTGGCTCGCGGGCAGTGATATATCTAGCGCGCACCAGTCTTATGTCAGGTTGTTCCAGGACACGCTGAAGCAGACGCAAAGCCCCGCGGTGGCCCTCCAGGCGCTCCTTACGCTTTTCTGCCAGATAGTCTATTACGAAAAGCTGCCACGACTTGGTGCAACAGAGACTGCTGAGACTGCCTTCTTGCATGCGGCAGTGATTCCGACTCGATGGACTGGATTTGGGGTAGGGATGGGGTTGTTATTTACTCACTGGGTGGTGATGGCCATTGTCGTGGGGCTGTTTGCTCGATACACGCGCCACTCCTTGTTAGGGAATCACTGGCAGGCGGTTTCACAGGTGTACTCGAAGGACACAGTGCCGGTTCTGGAGATGGCAGGTCAGATGAATGATGAGGAGGTCGAGCGTTGGGTCAAGCACGAAGAGCGTGGAGGGGAGCTATACAGTGTTGCGCTTGATGAAGGGGAGAGGCGGGTGGCGCTGTCAGTCAAGCGTTCGGATTAACCCTTTTCATTGCGAGTGGTTGTTTATTTCGACTTCTGCAGAAGGAAAGGTGGTTATACCTCCAGGGCTATGTATATATATCTTATGACGTAATGTGTCCACGACCGCTTTGCCGTCACATACTTAGCATTATCATCTAATCCTCAATTCTACGAGCCTCAATTCTATGGGGAAAATGTCTCAGAAATTTGTCACTGAGCTTCCACTTTCTTCTTCGGAAATAATATTTCCATCCTCTCCGTTTTATAAAACAGAGAGTTGCACTTGGGCGGCCCAGAAAGATCTGAAGCCTAAGATCATCGCTCGGCCCTGCACGCCTTCGTCTCTCGCAGCTTTACTTTCTTTCTTAACACATTCTAATCTGAATTGGGCGGTCCGAGGTACTGGGGTGGGGTCCTCATCTGCCAGCGATGTGCTGATCTCATTGTCTGCTTTTGATAAATTCGAATACAACGCAGAAGACCAGACCGTGGTTATTGGTGCAGGACAAACCTGGGGAGAAGTTGATCGAAAAGTTGAAGAAAATGCCCCTGGCCATGCTGGTACGTCCAATCTATCTGTTTTCTGCTATATATAGTATGCAAAATGCTAAATAGACATACACAGTGGTTGGTGCTCGATGCACATACGTCGGCGTTGGCGGCTCCATCCTCTCAGGCGGAATATCTTGGCTATCCTCTGAAAAAGGTCTTGCTACTGACCCACACAATATGCTAGATGCAAAGGTCGTCTTAACGGACGGCAGGATTTTATGGGCGTCCACTGAGCCGGAATTACTTTGGGCATTGAGAGGTGGCGGTGGTAGTTTTGGAGGTCAGTTTAAGGCTCACTTGCATTGGCATATATGAAATTTTCTGCTTACTTTCCATATATACAGTATTGGTAGAGGTCAAACTGCGAGTTCACCCCTACCCGGACAAAATATATTCTGGTCATATATCCTACCCAAGGTCGGCATTCCCTATCGTCGCAAAGGCCGTTTCAAGATTCACTACGGAATGCAACGACCGAAAGATGGCAATGCACATTTTCCCGCTCGACCTTGGCCAAGGTCATTATACGGGGGACACTCCAAAACCGGGTATCGGTCTTCATGTCTTTGACGCACATGGAGAAATACACGGAAGAGGTACGGAGGGATTCCGGTGGGCTTTGGATATTGAAGGTGCCATTGATAAAACAGGTTCCATGACGATTCGACAGTGTAACCAGATTTGGGGCAAGTCCACCCACGGAAATGATCGATGTTGTGATATGAATGAGCTGACATGAGATTCAAGATGGGCTCGAAGCTGCCAAAGGGAAAACAGCCAACTTCCAGTCTTGCCTCCTCATTTCCCATGTCGATGAACAACTTATCTTGCAGGGGTGGAACTGGATTGAGAGTTTGATTCAGAAGGACTCATCTCTTTCTCTTGGAGGGACTTATCTCTTGATTGAATTTATGCAAAAGGTATGCAATCCTGGTTTACCTTTCTAACAAGGAGCCTGCATTTGCTGATATGATTTTATTTCATTCCAGCCAGCTTTTCATTCGGTAGATCCAACGCTGCGAGCCTGGCCGGGCACGCACGGTCAGTCTATTTTGCAAATCGGGACTGGTTCCCCATGCAATCTTGAAGAAAGCAGAGAGTTAGCTTATAGGGAGCTTAGAGAGGCACCGTCCTTTATATGTGGACAGGATGAACGATGTGCGTTGAATTACTTTACTCATTCACTTGAGGAGTTCAATGATCCAAGAAAAGTGAGCGGCCCCATCTTCTCCTATAGATTGGAAAGCTAACAAGGGGTTGAGATATACGGTGAGAACTTTGAGAAGCTACAGGAGCTCAAGCGGCGATATGATCCATATGGTGGCCTGAAAGGACCGTTTTGGATGCAGTGAGCTGCTAGCTACCAGATAGTGTGCTTATTTTCACCAACTGTCTTTGTTTGTTCTTCCTGTAGGCATATTTGATATTGATATAATCTATCTTCGTTCCTTATTCTCATATTTTTACACGTCTACTTAGTAATCCTAAGCCTGAGCGCCCTTTTCAAAGCCGGTGCAGATGGAAGGCTCCGGCAGACATTATCCTGTCTATATAGGTCAAATAAGCCATCAAGAGGTTTGAGAGAAAAGGTATAGCATGAAAATAGAGATACATATACAACATTGACGCATACCATATATCCCTGAGGCACCCCATCCAAATATAGCAACCCAAACCCTAAAATCCAAAGTCCGGCTCCGCGGGGATGATGACTTCACCACGGCATCACCGCCCAGGCACTACATAAAATCACAACCTTGATTGAGTTTCTCCACTGTCATGATGTCATGGGATTTCTGATACTGGGTTTGGGGGATGTTGTGATAGAGTTATGAGTTGCGGGGAAATACGAGAGCTTGATATTCGATGTTTATTTAGATTCTATGCGAGTGCAGAGAGCATATTGAACTGTTGAGATGTAGAGATGATATTTTTGGAATTTTTTTTCTTCATTTCCTCACGAAAAACGGGTTGTATATACACAAGTGCTGTCGAGCTCATTCCAGAAGAGGAAGCCAGCCAACGGCAAAAAAAAAAAAAAGGTAAATCCCCAGCTCATCTTCTGGAACAAACGACTCCCGTCATAACGGTCATGATGAAGGGGGACAAGGGGCGTTGGCGGAAAACGCCTATTAGGACGGACTTTCTAGTCGGTGGAAATTCTCTAAATATGTATAAATGGAAACGCAAGGCGTCCAAATGCCCCCCCCCGAAAAAAAAAAAAAAAAAAAAAAAAAAAAAANCGGGTATCTCCAAGAGAGAATATGTGCGATAGCCGGTTGATATGATCTTCATGTAAACCCTCTCCGTTTCCATCTTTCTTGTTTCTTGCGCGCGCGCGCGCGTGTGTGTATCATGCATGGTATGAGATGCACAAATTGGGCCGCGTGGTCGATGACGGACCCGATTGGGGTCATCTCAAAGAAATATGTATAAAAGGGTGTTTATTCGTCGTCATTGTAATCCTCTCTGTCCTCGTCGGCCATCCAGCCGCGCGACATCTCCACGGCCTTGGACCACTTTTTATACATGCGGCCGCTGGCTTTGACGGACATATTCGGGGTGAACGAGGCTCGGTTGGCGCGGTTCATGTGCTTAAGTTCGGAGAAATCCTTCCAGATGTTGATGGCGAAGCCGGCGGCGATGGCGGCGCCGAGGGCAGTGGTTTCGTGCATTGAAGGGCGTTCGACGGGGATTTGAATAATATCGGCTTGGGTCTGATGAAACGAATTTAGTTAGCAATGTAGTCTAGGAATTTGGGAGGGAAAACATTGAAACGTACCTGCATGCAAACGTCGGAGTTACTCATGCCGCCGTCAACAGCCAGTTCTGTCAGGCTCTTGCCGCTGTCCATTGCCATGGCGTCGAGAATAGCCTTCGTTTGGAAGCAGGCCGCTTCCATGGTTGCACGAGCAATGTGTCCTTTTTGTGTGTGGGCGGTGATTCCCCCTGGTTAATGTTAGCGATCAAGTTGCGAGCCGAAGCACCATGTTCGAGACTTACAGATAGTTCCCTGGGCATCATCGATCCAGTAAGGAGCAAAGAGACCACTGAACGCAGTGACGAAAATGCAGCCCCCGCTATCCGGCACACTGGCGGCCAAGTCGCTGACTTTACGCGAGTCGCGGAAGAAGCCGAGATTATTCATAAGGAAAGAGACACCACTGCCCGCCACAGCCACACTACCTTCCAGTGCGTAGACGGCCTTGCGGTCTCGCCCTAATTGGAAACCGACTGTGCCCAAGAGACCGTGTTTCGAGATAACTGGCTTCTCACCCACGTTGTAGAGAAGGAAGCACCCGGTACCATAAGTGTTCTTGGCCATTCCCGGAGAAAAGGCACAGTGGCCGACCAAGGCCGAGGCCTGGTCACCCAGACAACTAGTGATGGGAACACCCTCCAGCGGCCCTTCGGCCACTTTACCGAAACCCTCGGGATCGGCCGAGGGAAGAATCTCGGGCAGACGGATCTTGGTTGGGTCAATATCGAAGAACTTTAAGAGGCGATCGTCGTATTGGAGGGTTTCGAGGTTCATGAACATGGTTCGGGAGGCATTGGTCACATCCGTAACCAGAAGCTTGTTCCGAGGACCACCGTTGAGGTTGTAGATAAGCCAGCTATCGACGGTTCCGAATGCCGCCCGGCCATCATCGTAGGCGGACTTGACGTCGGGGAGATGGTCGAGCATCCATCGTAGCGTAACAGAGGAGGGGTATGTAGATAGGGGTAGGCCGCAAATATTACGGAGTTCGTCGGCGCCGGGCTTTTCCTTCAGTTCTCGTACCAGGTTGACAGTACGAGTATCGGTCCACGTGATTGCGTTGTGGAGGGGCTCGCCGGTCTCCCAGTCCCAGACCAAGGCGGTTTCTCTTTGACTGGTGATGCCAATGGCTTCGATGTCGGATGTGGAGTAGCCGAGAGCAAGGAATGATTTCATGGCTTCTTCGATACAAATATAGACCGACTCAACCAATTCAAAAGGGTCTTGTTCGTGCCATCTGTGGGGGTGCGGGGCAATTAATATTGAGTCGTAGATTGCGAAGGGAGGGGGTTTAACACCTACCCTGGATGTTCATGGATCTGGTGGAATTCAGTTTGGTATTTGGCGATAGGAACGCCTGTGCAGTCGAAGATGATGAATCGTGTACTCGTTGTACCCTGGTCGATAGTACCAATGAATCGACGCTTCATTGCATCCTCGTCCTCATCCTGCAGTAAAGAGCGATCCCCATCGTCACTTTGTTTAGGACGATAGTTGAGATTCAGGTGTTCCCGTTGTCTGTCCTCCACATGCTGGTGCACATGTTGTTCGGGGAGCTCGAAATCCTGGGCGGGTTCCGAGTCTCCATCAAGGCTGTCAAAGTCCAAATCGAATGGGTTGCGCATCTTCCAGAATGTGTAGTAAAAAAAAAAGAGAGGTATTAATAGAGAGAGGCCGATTTTACAGTTCTCCAGGATTTAAAGAGG